TTGTTCAATGGCTTATGTTTTTTCTTTCTATTTCGTTCCCTTTCCTTATCAATGTATCAAAGTATCAATCAATCAATCAATCAATCAAGCAAGCAAGGAATCAGTCGATCAGCCAACCAACCAACGCTCGATCAACAAATATGAACAGACGGTGCTGGATCTTTGTTCATCGCGCGTTGGCTGGTTGGTTGATTGATTGATTGATTGCTTGTCCCATGTAGGAGATGCGAGAGGTTCGTTTTTTTTAAACAATCAATCAACTAATCAATCAATCAATCAATCAATCAATCAATCGATCAATCGATCAATCGATCATTCAACCGACGAGTCAATCACCTATCGGTCGATAGATCTATAAAGATCGACCGTCAATCAATGATTCAACCGACGAGTCAATCATCAATCGGTCGATATATCTATGAAACTTGACAAACGGTGGATCTTTATAGATATATCGACCGATTGATGATTGACTCGCGGGTTGAATGATTGATTGATTGCTTGGTGGATTGATGGATTGATTGATTGATTGATTGATTGATTAGAGGGGAGGAGGCGGGCGGCTATTGGAAGGTAGAGAGGAGGGAGGGAGGAGGAACGAATGATGAGGGACGGACGCCATCGACGTGAGCGATGGCATCCTCTTTGTCGTTTTTGTTTTTTCTTGTCCTGACTTTTTGCTTGTTTTTCCCGCTTTCTGTTTTTTTGCTTTTCTTCCCGCTTTCTGCTCCTTTTCGTGTTGGGTGAGGTAAGGGAGGGTCGGGGCCGGAGTCGAGTGTGATCGCTGACACGCGGAAGGACAGGAGGCGTGGGGAAATTGGGAGGGAGGACGAGGAGATTGGATATAAAGAGAGAGAGAGGGAGGGAGGTAGGAGGAGACGACGGGGAGGAGGTCGAAGACGAGGAGAGCCTAAGAAGAAGAAAAAGAATAGTGAATAGTAAAAACAGGGGTCAACTGCCTCCCGTACACCCTTCTCAAGTTCTTCATTACATAACCTGTCTCTTATACACATCTAGATGTGTATAAGAGACAGGGTAGGAGGAGACGACGGGGAGGAGGTCGAAGACGAGGAGAGCCTAAGAAGAAGAAAAAGAATAGTGAATAGTAAAAACAGGGGTCAACTGCCTCCCGTACACCCTTCTCAAGTTCTTCATTACATAACCGCGCGTACTACCGTCTTCCCCCGAACACAACGCACCCTCATTTTGACTGTATCGGGCGGGAAACATGCCTTGCATACGTTCATTTTCAGGGTGCGTTATGTTCGGGGGAAGACGGTAGTAAGAGAGCCGTAGAAGAAGAAGAAGAGGAAGAAGAAGAAGAAGAGGAAGAAGAAGAAGAAGAAGAAGAAGAAGAAGGCGAGGGTGAGGAGGAGGGAGGTGACGACGCGTAGGAGGGGGATGGGGTGGTGGTGGTTAGAAAAACACAAGGCGAGGAGGGAGGGAGGTGGAAGGACGAGTGGGGAGGCGGGTAGGAGGAGGAGCTAGGCGGGCAGGGAGGACGAGCAACGCATTGGAGGGGATCGGGTAAGGGCGGGGGAGGGTAGGGCGAGGGAGGGGCAGGGTTTGGCTGACGGTCAGGCGAGGTTCGGGGCTTGGAAGAGTGAAGGATGCGCGGGAGGCTGATGGGGGGAACGAGGGGGATGGATGTAAGGAGGGAGGGGGGGGAAGGGACGGGGTGGATGTAAGGAGGGAGGGGGGGGAAGGGACGACGACAACGAAGAAGAAGAAGTAGAAGAACAAGAAGATGGGAGGGGTGTCGACGAATATTTCTTTCTCATAATTTTTCAATCAATCAATCAATCAATCAATCAATCCTTCACTCTAACCAGTACTCGAGATCAAACAATCAATCAATCAATCAATCAATCAATCCAGGAATCTAACGACCGCTAAAGATCATCTTGACTGGTCGTTAAATTGATTGATTGATTGGTTCACAGAAATGAAAAAGGTCCCGATCCCGACCATTCTATTGCTGAAAAAAAAAAGGAGAAAACAAAACGTGGAGGGAAGGGCAATCTATGGTCGCGGACTGTTGCGCGATGATCTGGGGGGGGTGGGTACGGTCGGGCGAGGGTCGGGGAGGGTCGGGCGAGGGTGGGATACGGTCGGGGGACGAGAAAGGGGGGTCGGTGGATGGTGAAAGGGAGGGTCGGGGCCTCGGCGTTTAATTTTTTTCTTTCGAATCAACCAATCAAATCAATCAATCAGCCAGTCAATCAGTCAATCTGACGACCGACAGATCAACATTAGTTGATCTTTGTCGTTCGTTAGTTTGATTGATTGATTGATTGATTGATTGACTAGTAAAAAAAACAAAGGGGGTAGGGGCAGCGCGGAGGAAAGGATAGTCGGGGGGGGAAGGGCGGAGAAAAGGTTAAGAAGAAGAAGAAGAAGAAGGAGAAGAAGAAGAAGAAGATGGGTTGGACGAGGCTTGGGGAGGGTCGGGCGAGGTTCGGCCTAGGCTTGGGGAGGGTCTGGGAGGCTCGGGGGAGTTTCGGGGCGGATCGGGAACGGTGGGGGCACGGGTAGGGCGATAGTCGGGGAGGGTCGGGCAAGGGTTGGGGACGATCGGGCGAGGGTCGTGCGAGGGCGGGAAGGGTCGGGAGAGGGAAAGAGAGGGGCGGGGCTGGGTCCAGTGTGGACGGTGTCAGTCGGGCAGGGGGAAGGACGCGCGGGACGGGAGGGCGGAGAAAAGGGGGAGGGAGGCTTAGGAGGAGGAAGGAAGACGATGGGAGCGGCGCGGGGGGCAGGTTTATTGGGAGGAAGAACAAGACGAAGAAGGGGGGCGGCCTTCTCTCTTTCTTTTTGTGTTAACAAGGCCAACGGCTAACGGGGGGCTGG